ATCAAATAAGTGTTTAATTTGTTTTAATTTTCCAAGTTCTATCAAATTAATTATTTCATTGAATTTTTGATGTAGATTAAGTTGGTTTTGTAATGAAGGGAAAATTCTAATTATCAATCCATAAGAAACTTACTAGTAAAAAAGTAAGCATTTTTGATAAGTATTATATTTTTAAAAAAAGATATATTGAGTTGTCAAAATAGATAGTTGTAAAAGATATTGCAATTTGGGGATTTTTTGTGTGTTGATGATGCTTTTATGTTCATCTTACACGAGTTAAAATAATGGTGTTTTCATTTCTAATGCAAAATTAGTACTATATATAGAATTAAAGCAGAAAAACTAACATAGTGGCACGGAAAAGAATCAGGAAAAAATATTGTATAATAACGTTTTCATTAGCTGTTAATATTTAACACTTGTACACAATTGTGATTTCAAGCCCACTTATTACATGACATAATTCGAGATTCAACGAAACCCCATATTAATATTATTATCACGAGGAAAATCCATTTATTTGACTAAGAAAATACAACGAAGGATACATGTCACCAGCAATGAAGGATGAAAAAATAAATGTCTAGTTGCATGGGGGAAACCTGCCCGATCCAAAGCGCTCTCACAAAGCTTATGCTTTGGTTCGATGTGGAATATGAGCCTGTTTGTTGCTATTACAATTTTATTGCCCCTATTTAATTCAATAAAATGAATGCGACCAAAAATAAACCACTGAGCAAATTGAAGCTAGTAATGATGTTAATATTAATGGATTCGTTAGAAATGCATTCGATCTTATTGATAGTAGCTGTTCCGTTGACATTCACATTGCAACTCTTGTTGTTGTTGTTGTTGTTATTATTGTTGTTATTGTTGTTGTTGTTATTGTTGTTGTTATTATTGTTGTTATTATTATTATTATTATTGTTATTATTATTGTTGTTGTTGTTGTTGTTGTTGGGGGCATTTATGGGTCTTTTAGTGGTAGTTGTGTAATCCATCGTCGTAGTTGAGGTTATAGTTACAACATCCATAGTTGAAGTTAGGGTAACAGCATTCAAGGTTGGGATAAAAAAATCCGAAGTTGAGCTAATAACCACATCCAGGGTTGGGGTACTAGGAGTTGTTGAGAGTGGGGTATTAATGAGACTTGGTGGGATTCCGATGCTGCTTGGACAAGTTGGTTTGGAAGGGACAGTCAAATCGGTGTAATTCTGCTTGAAGCAACCATCTACGATGTCTATTAATATTTAGAAGGCAAGCATATTCATAAGTTGTATTAACCTGAAAAAAAATAGATGAATAAGGAATATTTCAAAATAAAATTTAATACTTACTTTGAGGCGTATTACTATCTTGACCGTTAGAAGAATGAAGGACGCAAAGGTGAAAACTAAAAAAGATAATGATAAAATATTGCAATGACTGGAAATTAATAATAACTTATAAATGTAATGGGATTTGAATATCTCATTAAACGCTTCTATTTACCAAGTCCAGGAGTTAATAAAATCTTGCGAGCATGAACATGGGGAAATATTCTTATCGCTGGGGTGGAGAGCATCACAAGCGCTCGCATTCTTTTGGATGGAATTCAAATATGCTTCACAGGTCGCATATTCTACCGCTACGACTTCAAGAGAGAGGTATGACAAGAGAATTAATACAACCACCGTGAATATTCGCATATTATGAATTAATAAAAATTAATTATTATTTGCAAAAAAAAAAGTTCACCATAAATTTATAGGAAATACTATTTTAAGGTCTAATTATAATAATTTCCCATTTGTTTTAATTAATTTATGTTTATTGGACGAGGATAATAAATCAATTTAAATTTTGAGGTTGTGGAATAAATAAATTAAAAAAAATTTCCAATTTTTATTTGTTTGTTTGTTTGTTTGTTTGTACGACATTAATATTAAAACAAAGGTTTTCAGTGACGGACACCACCAGATATGTTTCAGATTTGAGTTTATTGATTTTGTCGGTTATAATATGGAACATACTTTCTTCATCTTTGCGATAAAAAGTCATTTGAGCTCTTCCCAGATTGCAAATGCGAGAATTATTTGACGCTTACGCTTGTTTTGGGCATGTAGGCGAGATTTAGAACTTTGTAGTTGATCTGGAACTCGAAGCTATCGACAATATAAAGAACTTGGTTAATTGCTAACAGAAAAAAAAAGGAGAGTACAGATTGGAAGAGGCGTTGGAATCATTGATTAGAATTACTTTTTAATATATTATAAATATTGTTTGATGTGATTTTTTATTTAATGTAATTTTGACTGATTAATTTATTTAGCAGATATTTATCTTTATTCGAATGTTACATTTATGAAGTAGAAGCATTTCTCAAACGAATTCAGCTTCAACATTATCAATGATTCCATTATATCTCGACTCAATTCTTACTGCAATTCGATTCTGTCTTTGTAATAGTTATTTTAATTTATTCGTTCATTAATTCATAGAATACGGACCTCATCTTTAATCTTTCTTTCCCACGATTGATTCATTGAACGCAAATGGTTCACCTTCTGTATGATATTCCAGTATTACTTTTCCATAATAATAATAATAATCACATACTTGACCCTCATTTAATTTTCTGCTCGTTATGATATGGATCTTGGATTTTTTCAAATTGTACCTCGGTTCTCCATCTGCAATATCATACTCAGGGTCACTAGCACATCATCATCTTTTTTCTCGCCTATTCTTTCTAACCAATCATTGGCTAATTCGTCAAATGTTCGAGGAAATTAAAACTATACTGGGTCAAAGTTGACCAGCATTCTGTTAACACTTCCTTATAGTGCTGTCAGTTTTGACCCAGCGTGAGTCCACATAAGTTTTAATTTCCTGATGCTTCAGTGATTTTAGCCTGGTTAGTATCGGTGGGGGGGGGGGTTCGTGGACATGGATTTTCCTATTCATGTGTGCCAATACTTTTCTGATTTATTTAGTCGAATATCAAAAATGCAAGGCGATTGATTGTACCTGTGAGTTTTTACATAACACTAGAAAAGTATATGGTAACGGGTGTTGCCATCTTTAAGGGAGTTGTGAACATATGAAGCCTAAAAATCGCATTCCCTGTTCTTTATGTAATCAGTCAACTGCTTCTGTGCCTAGACTATGTAGTAAACCTGCTGGTAGATCATAGGATTCGAGGAAAATTAAGTCAAGAATATAAAGGGTAGTTAACCAAATTTTTATACAATGCGTGAAAAAAAATCAAATTGGCAGTGATCGTAATTCATTGCTATGAAGCCTTTGGCCTTTTTCCTTGTCTTAGATAATTAGTAATCTATAAAATGTAACCATTAGTTGCATTCACTTCATTTTGTGGAAAAAGCTAGCAAATAGCTATCAAAGTAGTGTTACATTGTTTCACTTTGCATTGTGGAAAGGGATGCAATTAATTGTAGATGATAGTTGGTTTCCAGCACTTGGAATAAGATACAATTTTGTTTTGATAACATAAAATCTAATAAATCTTTTTACAGCATATAATCAGGGGAGTAATTGAATTTTTGTGCCAAAAAGGCACTACTGCTCTTCAATTGTCATGATGCGGGGGGATGAAGCCTTTATTGAAGCAAGAGATTTATAAAACAGAAATTTGTGAGACACATATATATATGAAAATTGCAAGGTTCGTTCGTATACTAAAAAGATGAAATCTCAAACACTCAATTTAACACATTATAATAATTTATATTCAATCGGAGCGAAAGGGTCGTCTCTCAAGTTTTAAACCAATTTTGCTAATAATTATTCTAGTTTTTCTTCAAATTCGACAAAAATATGGGGATCACTATTTGAACATTCAAATAAAATGTCTTCATCCAACAACAGCAATAATCGTAGCAGCAATTGTAATACAGTAGTAGTAATGACTTGCTTTAACAATACTGTTTAAACATTGATCAACAAGTCCATATCTATCATTGATACTGTTCAAACATTGCTCAATAGGTATACATCTGCCAATTCATATTTCATATTACTTCAATTAATTCAACAACAACAACACTAATGGCAATGGAAACATCATCAATGGGCGTTCGATTGTCAAAGGATAATTCATCTTGGACAACGTCAACACATGGATATATTTGCATGGCTTGTTTTTATTATGGACATTCAACACAAGGTAAAAAAATTTAAGAATTAACAAATATTAAAACATTATATATATATACATGTATACATATACACATATACACATACTGTATTATCCCTCTGATAATTCTTCTTTTTCCCGTAAATTAAGATCAACAGTGATAGTGAACAATTAAGTGAAAAATTTGAATTGAATTAATTAAAAAAATATATTATATATTATTTCTTCTTTGGTAGACTTTACAAGTAATTTTTTTCTAAATAATTTAAGTGCTTGAGCAACATTAAAGACATGAAAAAGTTTCACCCATGTTCTCACTGTTTTATAACGGATAATTTATAACATGAATTTCAGGGGTTAAAACTTTTTAAGTCGATCATCTAATCTGACTACGACTTGATAAAAAATTTTTTACAATCGTTTGGAGATCCTTTAATCAAGCTAAAAGAACAAAAAAAACTATTTAACTAGATATACTGGTAGGTATATATGTTGCAATCCAAGTAACTATCATAGCATATGTTTGCTTTGTGACATTGACTAACTTGTGCTTTTTACTTCTTTTTCACGTTCCCTTATATTTAATATCAAAAGGCATTTCAGGTGAGTTTACTTAAATAACGCATCTTCATCTATTCATTCTATCTTGTCTATCGTTGTATTAACAATTGAATCAAAGTGTCCCCACTAACATGGAATCAGAAAATCAGATGCTTTTGGTTAACAATAGCGAATTGTTTTGTTATATTTGATCTGTATATACTTAAATTAATAATACGTTATCTTTTATTCTATCCTCTTTTTTTCAGAGGCACGTAACAAAAATGATGGATTGACAACCAGTCCAAAACAATTGTAACTGCTACCTTTTCAAATGCTCGTCCTTCACTACTACACGATCTTTCTGGGGGTAGAATACAGAGCCACCAATGTTCAGGAAAGCAAAGAACAACCTGTTAGTTCTGCTAGAGAAACCTGGACAAGGACATCTTATGAGATATTGTGTTATAGCTGGGGATGTTACCAGCACACAAAGTAAATGTAGATTCAGGTCATATTGAAGCAATTGTGAACTACCAGAAAACTGCCGTCCTTGTCTCTAATTATTTAGCATTGAGTGAACAACACAACACTGTCATTTATCGATCATTATGTGATTATAACAGTCTTTTTTCCCTCCTTGAGGATCTGTCTCCTTATTCTCTTTATTATGAGATTGCCAAAACCAGGGTTAAATACAGACAAATTTACAAACTTTGAAACGTGGAAGAACATTGCTCATGTATAGTACTACATCAGTCAGTAATCCAGCAGACTTGACAGAAGAGAGCTACAAATTACTTATCATTATTCTCGTGGCCAAGTTTGCCACATTGTTACCTGTGTGGGAGAAATCATCATGGGTGAAACGGTGTTGATAGACATCGGAGGACTTCAACACGGGATAGTTATTATCAACAAACATAATGTTCACAACTGAACAGTATCATTCATATGAAGCGACTAATAACGAGTATGATTTCAATGAATGTTCTCGAGTTGCATTAGTGCATAACACTTGCTCACTACTATTCTTGAAGGTCATACATAATTGCTCACTGTTATGTATGTCGATCTTTAAATGATTGTGTAACAAAAAAAATCAATCCTTTACTAATATCAAGAAACTAGCATTGGATGTCTCCGGTCAGTAAAGTCACCAACTGTCTCTCAGCTACTGAGGGGAGTGTGTGAATACCTTTATAGATGAAAATATGTTGCCCATATCAATGTGCTCAATGTTGATACAGGCAGAGTCAATTTTTCCTGCAAGCGTGGAAGAGAATATTTAGTTGCATATTTTGATGAATCTTTTGCACTTATTGCAGTTTACAATTTCTTTATTGAACATGATTGTCTATCTATCAAGGGATATCCTCGGCACGATGTCCAGAGTTGATAATGTGAGCGCATATGAGAAAGGTACTCTTATCAGAGGAGTTTATGCAAATATTTAATGCCCAGAGCAACGTGGGAATTATGCCGATTACAGATCGATTTTCACAAAATAAATGATGCTGGAGATTTTTAACCGGAGTATTTGTATTACTGGAATTTGTTGAACGAATGGATCAGATCTTTTCACGTCTTTGGCTGATGTTAGGAATATGCTAATTTTCACTGGTATTTCCCTCCCTAAAGTCTTTCCTTCTGCTTTCATAGGATCACCTAAGAGTGTTGAATTCTCAGATGTCAACGTAGCACGAGCAACAATAATAAGCGCAAACACAGGCCACACTTTTGCTAAATTACTTAACGAACCGTCCAAATTTTATTTCCCGGAGGCTCTCATTGTGTCCTGATATCATTTTCTTTGTCGAGTTTGAGTACAGTTATATAGTTCCTGTCTTTGGTCAAGTCAAGCTGATAATTATAAATATGATTATTCTGCCAGGTTACTAGATATTAAATTTATAAATTTGTTATGAAAAACAAAAAAAAATTAAATTGTATTGAAAAGATCTTCAAAAATAAAAATAAAAAAATAAAAAACTTTACTATATCCAAAAATGTTTTACAGAGGTGTCAATAGAAATATTTTCAATGAAGAGATAGAAAGCGACTCCTATTAGCTTATCCAGTTGACGTGTGCCAGGTGTTATCCTAATATTACTTTTTTCCTTATCTTTCATGTCTATATATATTCGAAATGGATTGGAAATGACAAGACTAAATAATCTAATAAAAATTTTATTCATATTTGGCTTTTGGTCCTTTTTTCAAACCTTATATTTTATTGATAATTAACACTAAAAAAATTTAAAAAAACTATTTTACTATTCAAGAGCCCACCAAACCAATGACCTCACCTCAAAATCAATGAGTTTTTGCTAGTATAAAGTATTCATAACGTTATGATCATACCGTACTGAATTTTGGGGTTCAAACAAAATCGGTGCATATGTATAAACAACTGTCAAAAAAGTAATTGCACCAAACCGATGGTGGTCATCGAGACACCAATAATGGCATTTTAATACCACTCAATAACCTCAATAATATATCCAACCATAAAAATTATTAAAACAAACAATTGACCCATTACCTCGATCTTTAGAATAAACATGATCAAAATTACGCCTTGTAGATGAATTTTTTCTAATGCCTGGTTTTCTCCAAATAAAACACGCACACAGAGGAGGTTTATGAGTTTTGTATTTGATTCACCTTTTAAATATATAAATTCCACGTGAATATGGGCTTTTTCAATTCGTTGATATTTGATATTTTCTTTTTTGGGACTCAATGTCCACCAACCCTCTCGACTCTTCTTTTTGCTTTTTAACTATAATCAATTGCTTCTTATCCATGAATGTTTTATTTCACAATATATTCACCTTTTATCAAAATATATTGTATATGCAATCATTGAGATTATTAATAGCGAATAAAGTTTTAAATATTTTGAATTTGGATTGTTTTTCAAATATAATAATGACGATAAAAATATAAGCAATCAAATTTATATTAAGTTGTAACTATTAAATAATAATTAACGTTAATAATAAAAAATTAAATTATTCTTATTTTTAACTGCAATTTAAAAAACGAGCTCTGGAGGAGAAAAGCTACATCCTTAGATGCAACAACAGACGTTGCATAGCATATTATCCTGTCAGGTAGTCTCCTAACAGCAACTCCAATACTGTATGGACTCGGTAATTTTTTTGGTACTAAAACTTGCACTGTTTGAGCAATTGGTGTTCTAGTTTTAATTGGACAACTACTTCCATTACAAGGCTGCACAATAATGGGATCACTTGCTATTGTTATTACGATATTCCCAGTAAAGAATACAAGTGTTGTCGGTTTCGATGATATCGTAATTTAGTATTCCAGTGATAGCAAAAGCATCAGTTGTTCCAACAACGACAGGATCAGGTGAAAAGGAGGCTACAGCAAGTGTAGCTGGTTACGATAATTAGGTAAACCACATGTTCCAAAGGTAACTCTTTTAGGAAGTTGATGTGAATTAGGGATGTCCACCGAAACTATTCCAAGCTACCGAAAACATTATAGTATTACTTTTTTTCTGTATACCATAATTTTTCTTAAATCATATATACATATAATCTGTACAATTAAAAAAAAAAAGAAAAAAATTCAAATTAATTTTAATTTTCATCCAATTAAAATTGAAAAACATAAAAGTACATTACGGACAAAAGTCGGGAGCATTTTAAATTGCATAAAATCACACGTAATTTATATTATTCATTTTGTAATTCAAAATTTTACATGCAAAATTTAAATTTTCCATTGTTATTATGTCTAGGAGGAAAAAATTTTTTTTTGATAATAAAAGTCTCAATAAGTATCTTTCTTGTTTTTATTATTATTATTTTTTTTTTGTAAACAAACATCATTCTTAATAAATTTTTGAACAATTCCTTTGAAATCTTTTAAACTCGAAATATTAGCCTTAAATGATCGTTTTTCGGCAATTATTTTTTTTGGAAGAGAAAATAAATGGTTGAGATTTTATTTTTCTAATATTAGTTTAATAAAAATGATAAAGATGTGAAATTTTTTATATATAATTTGGTAACCTAAGTTGCAAAACGGAACCTTTTATTTAATTATTGTTGTGCAATTTTTGTTTAAAAATGCGCCTGACTTTTTTCCAGGTAGTGTATATACTATTAGTTCTGATGAGGAAATTAATTTAAAAGAAGAGATTGATAGATATGAAAATGATGAAGATACAAGTGATGAACATAATAAAAAAGTGAAGAGGTCAGACGGGTGAAGAAAGAAATCACGAAATGATTATGAATACTGCGAAAATAGAACAAATGATTATGAGACAAATGATATAGATATTGATGTAGATGATGAAAACCAAACCAAAACAAAAAGAGACTAGAAAAAATATTAGAAATTATGCTAAGAAAATAATGTTTTGAATTTAGAAAAAAACTAGGATTAATTACAAATTTTGATAATGATTTTTCGATAATGATTCAAATAAAATAAGTGATTTTTGTCAAATGTATTTATTGTTTGACTTTCGGTTTAGGTTTCTAACTTGCAAACGTTCGAAAGTACTTTCGGTACTACCGAAAAGGGGTTTCGGTGGACATCCCTAATGTGAATAGCATTGACAATGGAAAGAATAGCCAATAAAAGGAATGTGAAAATCAAATTCGTGATTTCTTTGTGAATGTAGTTGTTTGTTGATCAGAGTAAATTGAATTCATTGCCTTTTTCATATTCATGTAAATCGGTAATTACTTAAAAAAACCATGCGTGAATGCGTGAAATTCAAATTAGCCAATCAGAATTCGTATCCAAATTTTCATATGAAATCTACCATAATCTATATGGGAACTTTTCAATGGAAAAAAAAATTTCTTGATTTTCAACGGAAAATATCTCAAATTTTATGGTTTCTAGGCCATCAAAAATTCTCTACATTAAGAGTTACTTACAGTGCAGTAATTTCCTTTTTGGGAGGTATGGTCCGTTTCTATTGGAAAGATGGAAATGACAGTATTAGTATTAGTATATTGGTATTATTAATATTTGTAGAATTCATGTAAATCAGTAGGAAGTTTGTATGCATCTAGATTTTATTCATGTAATATATAGTAAACTGATAATAATTGATAGATAGGCATACAACTATAATGATATCACGAAAAAGAAAAGAGAGATGTCAATAAATGCAAGGATATACATGATATACTTTTTTTTCTATTAATAAACAGAATAAAATAGCGACGAATATTTATATATGAATATCAAGTATAACTTTTATGATTCCATCTTTGCGTGTAATTTTGAATATATCAAGAATTGAACTTGCTGCCAATAAGGGCATTCCTTTTCAATTGAGAATGACTATTGCATATTTTATGTGTTACGATCGAGGTTGGATGACGAAATGTCTCCTTTTCATCACATGACGAAAATAAATGTGACGAAATAGGGTTTTTACACTTTGAGTAATTTGACGAAAGTGACGAAATCAACAAACAATAAAATAAAATAAACCAATTATTTTGGAGATTTTAAATTATGGAGTAAATAAAATTCATGATGTCAAATTCTAATTCACCCAATTCACCAATTCCTTCTCAATCATCATGTAATATGAATTTGCAAACATTAAAATTAGATAATATACCTGAAAGTTCATTTATCTAACAATAATCAAGAATTAGCTACAGGATGTCCTGTGTTTGATGTATTGTTACACTCCATTAAAATAGTAAATGAAGAATCATTTCAACAATCAGAATTATCAAATGATTCTACAAAATTTTGAAGTTATGAAACCAGCAATAGATGTGAAGCAGCAATTCCTACTAAATTTTGCATAAAAAAATTAAGTATCCAACCAAGAAACATGATTTATGATGTAAGAAAATGTTAAAATTAAATTCTTGTTTTAATAAAATTGAATTTTATATTTTCGTCATCTTTATCACAATTTGACTTTTGACTTTACCCTTTGTTGCTTTTCGTCACTTTCGTCACATTTCGTCATAAGTGCCCCATTTGACGAAATACTTTTTACACTCCAAAATACTTTTGTCAACCAACCTTGGTATACATTCTAAATTTTTTTGCAATGCATAAATGCGCATGAAATTTTGAAATCTCATGCAATTTCCCATCTCTACCTATTGCCCATTAACATTTTCTTATTTAGTTTAATATTTGATTCTTTAAACATTGTAAATTATTGCAGAATTCAAATATTTGAAATATATTAACCAACCCTCTGAGACCTAAAGGTAAAGCTCCTCACAGGCTGGCTTACAAGCCAGGTTTCTTCGAGAAGTTTAAGAATATTAATTGGATCAAGGTTATTAATATCAATGGCTTAATAAAAAAAAAACCAGTTAAATTAAATTAAAACCTACATTAAAAGAACTTTGGAGATATTTTTTTTTTCAAATAAAATGATTCCATTTTCAACTCTTCTTATCCAATTATTTGATAGAGCAGCATCAAAATACAAAGATTTGGCTTTCAAAATGTTAGAATGAGCTTCAAAGGTTTTAATATCAATCATCATCCTTTCCAATTTTAATAATAATCAGATTTATTAATAATATGGTTTAAATGGGAGAGCATTATTATTAAATTTGATAAATTTATTAAATAGTAATTAAACAATTTTTTTACAAAGTAAAATCCATAATGAAATCAGTAAAATAGGCATATCGTGGCAAATCAAGATGTAACTGGTTTAGAAGGTATTTAATTATTTATAAACTTTTTTTAATGGAAAAGTTAGCGATGTCGGCTGGCAGAAAACCTTATCCGACCAATAAATTTAAATAGTTTACTAGACAAATAACGTAATTTTTAAAACCGGGTTTTTTATTATTTTTACTTGTTTTTTTTTCTTTGTAAATAAATCCCAGTTGATGAAAAAATTCTCATATGATACTAAGCTTGCTGGCATTAATCCCAATTCGTCACCATCGTATTGGTTCACTATTTGCTAGGATTTCTATTCAAATAAGATTTATTTGAATTATTTATTTTATTCGTTATGAGTTTGAATATTCGAATTACATTGAAATAAAACGAATAATTCGAATAAAATGGGTAATAGTAATATCATATATTGAAGGTGAATGATAAGAGAATGAAAAACGATAAGTCCAGTAATTACAGAATTAATACTAGACGATATTTATTATATCATTGTCCTTTTCTTCTGTGACCTCCATTAGTAAGCAAAAAATAAAATAAACAGGCAAATCTCTCTATAATGAACTTCCATTCTCTTTATATAACAAACATATTAGTAAACACTCTCTATAATGAAGAAAAGCAGAAAAATTATACATAGGGACAGAAGGTTAATTATAGAGAGAATGAACTGTATTTTCTTCTTATTTAAAAATAAATTATGATGTCAATGTTTCACATTTTTTTTTATAGTAAAAAAAAACTTCCACGAAGAACAGGTAGAACAAATAGTATATCTAGGTAGATGGAGATAGATTGTTTGGTATCTTGTTATTGACTCCCTCAACTCATCTCAAACAACTCTTTTTTAAATTACAAATAAAAAGAGAGTATATCTTAAATAACTGATACTAACGTGAAATGTACAGTGTATCTCTAACACCCATATTCGTAAAAAATGTATGCAGAAAAAAAGTTGTAATGGTGATCTTTTAAATTCAAAGTCATATCCGTGTAAGTAAAAAGGAAGCCACCGAACTCTTAACTCAACTCGAACAAAACTGACAAGCTGACCGTGATACCTGAGAAAGAGAACGGGGAGAATTAACAGAAAATCACCAAGCAGAAAGGTCAACTCTTAGTCAAACCATTACTAATCTGACCGAACAAAATGAGCAAAAACAAACTAAAATCAACCAACTTAATGAGTGAAGCCAAGGCCAACATCAGCGAATTAAAGAACTAGAAGCCACCGAACAAAATCTCCGGCAAGAAAAAGCCAACTTAATCATCCAACACCAAACTAACCTGCAAAAAGAGCAACTTGAAAAAAAATTTATAATAAAGGATGGAAGGCGATTTCAAAGTCGTAAGAGGTATCTATTCCCAAATGTAGTTTTCCACTATTTCCCCTCATTTAAAAATAATGTCTCGTTTGAAGTCCTCCCTCACTTGTGAAAGATGTTTCCTCTTTTCTCTGTACATACCTACCTTATGCACATAAATTTATTTATTAAATATAACTTATTAACCCAGCATTATCCGATTTTGTGGAAGGTCCTGATCATACAGGTAAAAACGCGGCTTATTTTGAAGAATGGATAAAAAATTAAATTATTTTTTTGTTTTGAAATAGAAATGATATTTCATTATAGCAAATGTTCCTACAGTAAAAAATCCAGATGATGTAATTATAGAAGTCGGACCAACAAATAAGATTGTTTATATATCAGGTGTTTTAAATGAAACTCCTTTATAACAAACAGTATCTCAATAGACAAAAATTTCTTCAAAAATGGGACTTGGTTTAACATATAATTTCACTTCCACTAAAGTGAGTTTTTTAATATTGTATTCATTCATAATCATGCTATCATTATATTATTAAATTTATAATAAATTTTCTTTATTAAAAATAAAAGAAATTAAAAGGTTAAAAAATTATTCTTCATAGGGGATTGTTAAAAATCATTATAAAAAAAAAACAATCAAAAAATAAGAAAGATTCATTTTTGAATATTTTTTTTTTTTTTGAGGTTTAAAAATGTATATAATTTTTCAATTTATGATCATTTTTATTATAGATTTTATTATTTTGTGTGTTTCGTTTATATTTATATATATATATAAATTAGAATTATACATATATATTTGTTTTTTTTTCCTGTATATTAAAAAAGGTGGTGGTGATGATTATTGAACTATATATTACTCGCTACTCTAGTTTTGAGAAAATAAAAGTAATTAGGTAGGGCTTTTATTTTGTAATACAATTTCTTGTTTGAGAGTTTTATTGGACAAAAGAGATTTTTTGCCTTTTTAGAAAATCTATATCACAGTAAATAAATATCGAATTTAGAATTCCCATTTATCGAATAATTTGGCCAAGAAATCTTAATTTCTCTAAAGAAAGGTTTCTATGATTTGTTTTCAATTTTTACACAATCTCATTAATAATGATATTTATATTTATGTTTATCACTAGTATCTATAACGGGATTCTAGAAAGTTACAAAGTTAAACAGAAGAAAATTTATATAGTTCATTTGTATATAAAACTATAAATCTGTTTGCTAAAATTTCACTTATCGATTTTATTTTCTTTCGTAATTTTGAATTTTTTTATTTATAAATTTTTTTAATCAATTATTAAAAAAAAATGGATCCGCCTCTATTAAACGAGCAGCAAATTCACAATAAATATTACAATCAACTTTCCAATCGTTTGCTCGAATCTCATTATCCACAACAGATTCAAATATATCCAACATTATTGGATAATAGTCAAATATCATATTTACAACCAAATTCTCAATTACCATATTACCCATATCTAGATGTATATCCTTTTAATGAACAACCGGGTCATACGGCACCACAGTCCGAATTGAAACCAGATACATTTAGTATTCGAACAAATAGACGACCGAAAAAGAAGGAAGCACGAAAAACAAAACCTTACGTAAAGCGCACGCATTCTCGTATTGCATGCAATCCATGCCGCGGAGCACGTTTAAGGTGTGTAAAAGAAGAGAAGAATTCTACTTCTTGCAATAGGTGCATTGAAGAGAAAAGAATATGCATTTTTGATGAAAATCCGGGAAAACGAGGTCGCAAACTTAATAGCAAAAATAAACCTAAGGTAAAAAAAAATCAAATTTTTTCAATACTCTTTCTTTGTTTCAAATAATCATCTATTTTCTTTAATTAATAGGAAAAAGAAACAAAAAATTGTGATGTCAATGCTGCTGATAATATTATCAAAGTTACTAAACCATGTTATCATGGTAACAATGGAGTAATATCTGATAATCTTAATTTAAAAGGTACTTCTAGTATTTCGAGTCCAAAAATAAGACAAACACAAGGTAATAGCAATGATAAAAATAAAAATAAAAATAAAAATAGTACTAATGATAATATATACGTACATATTCCCGTAAATCCAGTTAATATTGTCGTTGACACTCATATCAATATAGATGGTATTTATAAGTAATGTAAATTAATTAACTAATTAACTAATTTATTCGTTCGTTCTTACTAACAAAAAAAAATTTTTTTATATATGTAATTGTTTGCAACAACTATTGTTTCAAGATAATATCTATAATCATCAAACCAATACCCAGCAAGAAACAAATCTTGATCATTATGATACTTATATGTATGAGGCGGCGGATGTACTGAAGCTACTATCACGACTATGAGATAAAATATATTGGTGATAATAGACGGTAAATACTTGGTTATCTGCTGGATTGTGCGGGCGCGAGAAATGCTAAAAAACAATTTTTTTATTTTTTTCCTTTGCTTTGGTCGAAATTACATTTTAAAAAATATTCTGTTCTTTTTCTATCAAAATTTCATTTATATTTTATTCTATAATTGGCTCGGTCTAAAGACCTAAAAATAGCATTATTGGTTAATAGAATAGGTCTTTAGTTTTAACGCAATAATTTGTTGTAGAGTTCTACATGTAAAGATGCGTATAGCAGTGTTGAAATTTGATTGGATGATTCCAAATGTAGTCATAATCTGAATTTTATTATATTAATATTAAAAGAATGGTTGACGAAATTGACGAAATTGAAAATTGACAAAATTGAAGTGATTAATTAAACCGACCAAATTTTCATACAAAGATATGGCTAAATATTGATTTTAAATATATCAGTATGTCACCAAAAAAAAAAGATTTAGATTCGGTAAAAAAGAATTGAGAATAATCGTAATGGTAAATATCCAATGTCACAATAATACATCCATTTTTATATAGAGGGGCCAAATTATCATGAAGTTTGCATGTGATAAAAATTTATTTTT